ATGGTATCATTAAAAGTTAAAAATTCATTGTTTAAATTTTGAACCAGCCTGGTGTGTTAACTTCATGGCTCCTATCGTACCATTTTGGGCCATAATACGATGCCTAGGCCTGTTTTTATTTTTATTTTTTTTTCGCCCGCCCGCTCCATTATTTTTCTAGAAAAATCCGTTAACCAAGAAATTAAATTGGTGTGGCCTAACAGAGATATTTCTATCATATATCTTTGGTATCCCTTTAAAAAGCTTTAGGGTAATTTTGTATATCAGTGTAAGCAAACTGTGCCCTGAGAAATAATGCTCATGTTTAAATACATGTACTACATATATAGTATTGAGGATGAGAGATATGTTTCGTTTTCATCTTCGATGAATATCTTTGCTAGCCCTAAGTTCCTAACAAAAGGTTCAGGGCAAATTTGTATGACATTGTGTTTATCAATGCAAGCAGAATGTGCCCTGAGCAAATGTGTTCATGTTTAAATGCATAGTTTTAAGGATGAGAGATATTTTTCTTTTCGTTTTGGGGCCTGGTTTATGTGAAATGTGCTTTTCTGTTATGTGGACATACATGTTACATTGTACATCCGTTTTTCGTTGGCAAGTATGTAATACAAAAGGATGTTTCTTTTCCTTTGTGGTCCCGTCTTTGTCTTCCTTCATAAACCAAGCCTTGTTTTGGCAACTGACTTTGACAAGATCAAGTTGCTTTGTTGTGAAAACACGAAATTTCTGCGCAGATTTTTGCTTCAGCGGCCCTGGTACAAATAACTCGTAAATTTTACGCACAGAGGAATTAAAGAAGCCATTTTGTAAACTTTAAGAAGTCAACAATGGTTTTCACTGTTGTATGGAAGTAATTGAAACCAGTTTTTCTATCATCGCAGTCAGAACGTTACTTACGGTGTGTGTAGTTTTTGTTTAGTGTAAATAAATCTATAGTTCAGTCTGAATCACAGTGTTAGTATATAGGGGAGGGGGGCTGTTTACTCAATATAATAAGATGTTCCCATTTACTTATGAAGCAGACAATTTTAACTGATTTGGTCTATTAGTTAATTCTTCTACATCTATTAGGAGATAATTTGTTTCAGCTTTACAAAAAAATTATAACAGAACATATGATAAACATTCAGAATTTCTGTAAGCATTTTGTGGCTTTTTTTTGTAGAAAAATATCTTTAAATCTACTGTGCTGAAAAATTTCTTGTCATAACCTCACTAAAATGTTGAAAGCTTGAAACATTTCCACTCAAGAAGACCTCAGAACTTCGTAAGTTTCTCCCAGACGATTTCAGAGGCATTTCCTGAAAGTTGACCACCTGTGCCATTATAAACCAACTAATTAGGGCAGAATAACATCCAACATGTAATTATATACTCTCACGTTTCCACGTAATGGACTTACCTGTCTTTCCCAGAAAACATGTTTTCATACAATGTTTGTTCTAGCTAATACTAGTAATTTTCTGACAACTGCATACAGATATAATTTTGTTTTGTTTTAAGAAGGTTTACTAGAGTTAGTACATCTTAACCCTTGTCCTGCTGTGCGCAACATATGTCGCGCGGCACATACAGTACCATCTATATAGCACCCTGCATAGGTACAATTTGGGGGTATTTCTCGTGCAACGGATTACACCGCAGAGAAACGCAACGAATGCGGAAGTAACTATGCCACTGCAGGGCAAAAAAATCTTGTTTTTTTTTTATCTCATCAAGACATGAAAATATTGAAAAATATTGTGCCAGGAATGCCAGCAGGACAAGGGTTAAGGCACAGTACACCTGTATTAAGGTAGGGTTACCTGTAAAGTGTACAGGTGTGCACAGCATGGTGTAAGCCCTCTAGCTATGTTTGTGCTTTGGATCCAGAAAAATCGCCTTAATGTTTAAGGAGTCTTTTGTTCGGTAAGGTATTTAAAAATCCCCAACTGGTAATTATAACTTGTCTGGTTATCCTTAGTTAGGTAGAAAACTGTCCAGTTGGATCGAATCAAGAAATGTCGACAAAGTTTGTTGTTACCTTCGTGAATGGAGGTTTTGTTTTTAATGTGTTTTTTTGTAATAATTCTTGATCAAATCAAGAAGTGTCAAAATTGAGAGATTTTATTGTTACCTCCGTGTACTGTTTTTTATGTGTCTGTGCGTTTGTGTTTCCATAGTTGTTTTCACATTGGCATGTCAGGGACACTGACAGGAAGTTAGGTCAAAGGTACCAGAAAGGCCCTAGAAAAGGTTATCTCACTTCCTGTCTTCACTTTCCAGCTACCTCAGAGTCTGTCTCTTACCTTATGGAAGCCTTGAGTAGGAAAATGCAGGCAGAGTCAACAAAAAATTTACAATACAATATTAATGAACAGAATAAGAAATTCACAATATGTGCCTTTATCTTTTAAATAACAATGAAAGTATGAAAATGAATAAAAATCAGCATTTACAATACTATGTACTTTTAGTGAGTTCTAATTACCTTTTGAATGACCGTGTTGATTGTTGCTTTCAAATAACGACTATGTTTCTTAAAAAATATACATTTTATTGAAAAAAGTCATTTGACAAGACTTTGTATATTCTAACAAACCTAACCTAGGTATTGGGTTTAATTCTTTGGCAAAAATGATATTTGATATCAATGAGTGGAAAAATAATACTACTGATATCAAAACAGTATTAGCTTTTTTTTTATATCAATGAGTGGAAAAATAATACTACTGATATTAAAATAGTATTAGCTTTTTGATATCAATGAGTGGAAAAATAATACTACTGATATCAAAACAGTATTAGCTTTTTGATATCAATGAGTGGAAAAATAATACTACTGATATCAAAACAAGGTGTTTAATGTATAGGTTTTTCCGGAGGCGGATCATTATGGATGTAATTGTGCTTAGGAGCAGGCTTTGGGTCAGAAACCAGGCCGGGGCAGGCAACATACCCCCAGGCATTGCTAAACCATGGCACCAAGCCAAGAGAACAGGTCAAAATACCTATAGCCTCCCCAAAATGAATGTTGTCATTTTTCCCTATGTATTATTCACTCTCATATTGAGAGGGCATGTGAAAATGATCACGATTTGTCACGGACGCAAATGGTTATAGAAATATCCGGGCCAATATCCTTGTCGAAAGCGGACGTTTTGGCGCGAGGTATCGAAATATTTC